TTTTAGCGATTGAATGCATGTATTTATATTAGGACGATTGGTAGTCGTTTTTCAATGTGTGTTTTTAGCGATTGAATGCATGTATTTATATTAGGGCGTTTGGTAGTTGTTTTTTGTGTGTTTTTAGTGAGTGAATGCATGTATTTATATTAGGGCGTTTGATAGTTGTTTTTCAATGTGTGTTTTTAGCCAGTGAATGCATGTATTTATATTAGGGCGTTTGATAGTTGTTTTTCAATGGGTGTTTTTAGCGAGTGAATGCATATATTTATATTAGGGCGTTTGATAGTTGTTTTTAAATGTGTGGTTTAGCACGTGATGGCGCTGATGAACATTTCAACTTTTGGCTTAACATACTTTGACACACATACCACACAAAACCATATTAGAACATTACATCACAGAACCTGTTTGACACAACACAATCCAGACACATACATACACACCGCAAAACCCGTAGGAGAACAATACTTTACACTACTCCATCACCACACACCACTATACTAGACGACCGACAGCTTTGATACAACACAAACCATGGTAAAAATAAACGCCTCAAAACCATTCCAGATAAATACATCTCTCTAATACTTCACATCCTAACACATTGGTTCAGCACATATGAGCACACATACCCATTACAATATCATACAAAACCAGAACGACACACTAGATTTTATGTACCAATTAGTGTACCTGCCATGTACTATTTCTGGCGTTAACTTTTATTTCTTTTAATTAGGGACCAGCTGGCCCACCTGGTCTTCCTGGAAAACGTGGCAACGACGTGAGTTTATTTTTCTTAAAAAGTAGCTTACATAATACCAATACGTGAACATTAGAAGGTATCCAGCGCTTGCAAAAGTCTGCTGCTCAACCATACGGAGAGGAAGAAAAAATAACCTATGCTTACAGGCGGACAACTCAATTTGTATGTGTTTTCCATAGGGTAAACGAGGAGAACCTGGTCCAGCCGGGCTTCAAGGAAACGTGGGACCAACGGTAAGCATCATTCGTGCTTCAATCATTTTAGATATGTTCTTTTTTTTTTCCAGTGGATTTCTTAACAACCTAATGTATGTCGTGTTTTCCGTTCATTTCAGGGAAGACCCGGGTTAGCGGGACCACCAGGTGCACCCGGTCTTAATGGAAACGATGTAAGTACATAGAACGTTAAGGTACTTATTATTGCTTGCTGTACAAGGGCGGATGCAAAGTGGGGCTGTATCCCCCCACCCCCTCTCCCTCCCTTTCAGAACGTTGGTTATGCTTTTTGAAGAGGAATAAAAAGCCTGTAGTGTCATTCGCAAAATTTGGTCAAGCCCCCTTAAATTGTTTTGAATCAGTTGTTCCACCCCTGTTGTAGCCGTTCTATGACACGTGCTTTACTTAATGCAGTGGCTTTTTAGCAATTAAGACATACGATGCAGTTGTTGCGCTGAACTTCGCTAGAAACATAATCTTTGAGACATGCTATATTATGCTTGCATGTTTTCCCACACATCACAGAATGTTACAACCGCCCAGTGCAATCACGTTTGATGCGTTTCCGCTTGTATAATCTTTTTGCAGCATTCTGCTTTGATTATACACCTATTTCAAAAAAGTTGTCATCGTCAAAGGCGATAGACAATAGCTAGGCGATAGGCGTAAAGCGATAGCAGATAGGTAATTCCAACAAGATCCAAGAATAGCTTGAACGACTTGTGTTTCTGCGTCTTATTCTCGTCAAGAACATGGGCCTCTTGACATTGACACTGATTCAATGTCCTTTGTAGTCGACGAAACCCTTTTTTGTATACACGTGCCATGGCTTTTGATATATAATCTATTTTATTATGAGCGCACCAGAAAATAACTGGTTTACTTTGTTACTGTTGTCAGGGAAGAGCAGGAGAAGCTGGCCCGAAGGGAGATGTTGGAAGAGATGGCCCTCCAGTAAGTTCAAACTTCGTCTGTAAAAAGTAACAGTGCCGATAGGACATAGCGTATTGGCCTTCCATCCCCACCCATCCAATAAATACGCCACTTGAAAATGCAACTTTTTAAAAACGCTTCCCAAAGTAGAAGTTTTTAAAAACGCCCTTTTCATTTTGTCGTGTTGACGTTTGAAAACGGAACTTTTCAAAAACGCTGGCGTAGCAATCTCTTTTCTTAGCTAAAAGTCCGTTTGAACCTCCAACGGCCCGCGCACAAGAAAAAGTGAATGTATTGTTTTGAAATTACGAATTACTTGCTTTTTATTTGACTTTGGGAAAATTTGTGAAGATATTTTAGGCGAGAAAGATTCTACAAGATTATGTGGGTTTAAAGCCAAGAAAAGCTTAAAATGTGCATTTCACATTGAATGAATATAAAACAAAACGATTCTGTTTAATTTGATTTTCACATTCCTTCGTGCTTTTGTAATGCCATGGCGACCAAACTCATCAGAGGATTTCACAAAACTTTAATACAAATAATAAAGTTCTTTTCCAATGAAAAAAAAAAAGACTAATTAAATTGTTCCTTTGCAGGGAGCGGCTGGATTGCCTGGTATGCCAGGAGAAGTTGGTTTCAAAGGAGAACGCGTACGTTGAGATCTGTTTTCTTATTTTACTGAATTTCCCTGGTTTATGTCGTCTTGAAAATGTTAACCTTTATTTTCTTGTAGGGTCCAGGCGGAGTTAAAGGAAGAAAGGGAGACGAGGGAACTCGTGGAGAGAGAGTAAGTAATTCACAATAATGATAATAATAATGATAATAATAATAATAATAATAATGATAATAATAAT